TGGCCAAGACCAAAGAGCTCTCCAAGGATGTCAGGGACAAGATTGTAGACCTACACAAGGCTGGAATGGGCTACAAGAGCATTGCCAGGCAGCTTGGTGAGAAGGTGACAACAGTTGGTGCGAGTATTCGCAAACCCAAAAGAACTGTCAATCTCCCTCGGCCTGGGGCTCCATGCAAGATTTCACCTCGTGGAGTTGCAATGATCATGAGAAGGGTGAGGAATCGGCCCAGAACTACACGGGAGGATCTTGTCAATGATCTCAAGGCAGCTGGGACCATAGTCACCAAGAAAACAATTGGTAACACACTACGCCGTGAAGGACTGAAATCCTGCAGCGCCCGCAAGGTCCTCCTGCTCAAGAAAGCACATATACATGCCCGTCTGAAGTTTACCAATGAACATCTGAATGATTCAGAGGACAACTGAGTGAAAGTGTTTTGGTCAGATGAGACCAAAATGGAGCTCTTTGGCATCAACTCAACTTGCCGTGTTTGTAGGAGGAGGAATGCTGCCTATGACCCCAAGGAACGCCATCCCCACCATCAAACATGGAGGTAGAAACATGCTTTGGGGGTGTTTTTCTGCTAAGGGGACAGGACAACTTCACCGCATCAAAGGGACGATGGACGGGGCCGTGTACCGTCAAATCTTGGGTGAGAACCTCCTTCCCTCAGCCAGAGCATTGAAAATGGGTCGTGGATGGGTATTCCAGCATGACAATGACCCAAAACACATGGCCAAGGCAACAAAGGAGTGGCTCAAGAAGAAGTACATTAAGGTCCTGGAGTGGCCTATCCAGTCTCCAGACCTTAATCCCATAGAAATTCTGTGGAGGGGGCTGAAGGTTCGAGTTGCCAAACGTCAGCCTCGAAACCTTAATGACTTGGAGAAGATCTGCAAAGAGGAGTGGGACAAAATCCCTCCTGAGATGTGTGCAAACCTGGTGGCCAACTACAAGAAACGTCTGACCTCTGTGATTGCCAACAAAGGTTTTGCCACCAAGTACTAAGTCATGTTTTGCAGAGGGGTCAAATACTTATTTCCCTCATTAAAATGCAAATCAATTTATAACATTTTTGACATGCGTTTTTCTGGATTTTGTTGTTGTTATTCTGTCTCTCACTGTTCCAATAAACCTACCATTAAAATTATAGACTGATCATTTCTTTGTCAGTGGGCAAATGTACAAAATCAGCAGGGGATCAAATACTTTTTTCCCTCTGTATATACATGTGAGGGAGTGGTGAAATGGTGATCGTAGATGTGAATTCAAATGGGTTTCAAATTCCTCCCCATTCAGTTTTGAGATGCAGGGAACCCTTCCAATTTAACATGTTACTCCGTTGTTTTTCTCTAATTAAATGTCGTGTAAGTATTTTATTCGTTGTTTTGACTGCTTCCGTGTGCGATTTTCAATTATCGAATTGCTTTTACGAATGAGCGTGTGAAGACTGCATAATATTAATTTGCAGTTGTTTAAAGTGATTCATTATATTCGCGTTGGCATGTGGGAGTGTGCACGCACGTACGAGCTGGTGAAAGATTGATCCGGTGAGTGAACGAGTGATCGGGTTGGTGAACTAGTAATGGGGTAAACAGACGAGCGATCGGGTGAGTGAACGGCCCATTGAGTGAGCGAGTGGGCGAGCGTGAACGCGGGATCGAGAGAGGGAGAGACGGTGAGCGAGTCGGCGGTGCTGAGGTGAGAGTCGGCTAGCAAGCGATCGAGTTAGCGCAAGAACGAGTGAGTGAGCGAGTCTGCCCGTGTTCGAGCTATCTGGCGGGAGTGGCGGCGGCTGTAACAGTGATGTAACGGGCCATCGCCATTGACCCGCGATCCTGGTTTCCACGCGATATCGGATGCGCAGTCGATTTCTATTTGAGGCCCGTCGACGCGGCGGGCTGATTACACCATTGTTTCAAGTGCTCAGACTTTGTTATTAAGTAGATCTCGTTGGTGTCATCCGATCTTTGATATAAAATTCTTAAAAAAAAAGGATTTGAAGTCGATTTAAAAAAAAACTCTGTCTACGCTGAGACTCTCCCCCCCCCCTTCCCCTCCCCAAGTATATGGTCAAAGACACTCCCATTCACTGAATCGTCGCAGCTCAGTTTTTTCCTTTAATATTTTATCATTGCGAATATAGCGGCCTCTAGTGGCTGGGGGGGGGGGTTCATGTGAAAACCTCATCGTCATTTGGAGGAACTTCTGCCAGCAGTGGCGCGCGAGCAAGCAATTTGCAGGGTTGCTCCTTTTACCGTCGTGTTTAATAATCTACGGTCAGTGGCGCTGCGCCCGATGGGCGTTGTTGGCCACGCTCGTGCGCCCGTGTCCCTCCCGTGGGCACCGGCCCCCTCGCCCGTCCGGTGAGAAGAACGCGTTGCGTTTGCTCGGGGTGATTCCATGTTGGCGCCAGCGCCCGCCGATGCACACGTGTGCACGTTGTGAACGCCTTTCGCGCACCCACCGTACGTTAGCCAACCGCGAGCTAGTCGGAGATTCGCCCTAGTCGCTCGCTCGCTCGCCGCCCAGTCAGGGCGCCTCTTCTCTCGCTCGAACCCGTGGTTACTGGAGGTGGGTGCACGACACACTTTACATTGACGTGACCAAACCCAAGAAAACACGATCATGAATCCTCCACCCATGTCGGGGGAGTCGGGCTACCCGACTGACTGTTTCACCCCATCCACGCCGTGCCTAACCACCGCAACTCGCAACCACACTCGCTCACCCACCCGCTCGCCACGCTGCAGGCAAATAGGGTATCTCTCTCCGCCTCTCCCCCCCCCCTTCCATCGTCCCCTATCCTGAGCTCGTAGAACCACGCTTGGGTTCAAGAAAAACGCGTGACGCTCTTCATCTGTGACGGCTTTCACTCGAGCGGCTGGGTGGCACAGTGGTACCGCTCCTTCCTCGCAGCACCAAAGGGCCGAGGTTCGATCGCCCGACTTGAGCGCCTTTACCCTGTGGGGTTTGTGTGTTTCTCCCACGGCACTTGTGTGGGTTTGCTCCGAGCTCTGCTGGTTTCCTCCCTGCGCGTACGACGTCACGGGCATTGGCCAAATAATCGCGGTGTCGAAAAAGAGCCAGCAAATAACTCAATTGGGATTGCGCGCACACACACACACAAAGCAGGAACAACGCCCTCTACCCATTCTGCAAAAAAAAAACCTGGCAGGACCCTCTTGAAAAAGAGCTTTGTCCTGGTTAAGCGTAATAATGACATTCATAAATAGCATGATCAACATGGTCATCAACTAATGTCGCTAAAAAAAATTTCCACTTCAGGTCCCAAACACTCCTGTCTCTTCCCCGCGCACTGCTGCACTTCAGAATCCCCTCCCATCTTATCCTGAGCCCTTCATAATAACCGTGCTCATCTCAGGAAGCCTATTCACTCTTGATCTGCGTGTGTGTGTGTGTGGTGAACTTTCTCGCCGTACGTAGCCAACCGCGCCAATCGGAGGTGCTGTGGGGGGGGGGGTCAACAAACTAAAACGCAGATAGCAGTTCTCAGCAAACGAGCGGCTTCCTAATATCGGAAGAGCGTTCCAGACGGCCACGGAAGCGCATCTGAAAGCAAACACACAAGAGCAGATCTATTCAATCTTGAACGGTGACTGTTAGATTCTGACCGTTTTGCATTTTCGTGCCTTCAGGCCGCTGTGCTCTGTTGCTCTGCAAAGAGGTAAAAGATAGTGTCCTTCTGGCAGTGGTCGAAGCACCGTACGCGGTCACAGGAGACTCGGTTACGCTTCCCGTGTCACGCTACTGTCGGCGCACCTAGCCTGGCGCAAGCGCTGCGGTGACGCCGCCGCCACTTGGTGCCGAGTGGCGGTTGTTTGTTGTTTGTTATTGTTGACGCCACGTTGGTAGTTGACGGATCAGCTCCGCGCTGTGTGTGTGCGGGACGACCGTATTTATCTGGATGGGAGTGCAGCACACACACTATTCCCCTTTCCCGCCATGCGTTTTAAAGCAGAGAAGTGAGCATTGCTTCGTATTGTACGGCAGGTGCGCGTCTGTCTGCGGGGAGCGGTGGCGCAGCGCTTAGCGCGCCGCTCTATACGAACCCCGTGACCTGCTTTCGATTGCTGCTCACGGCCAAAGAGCAGTGATGATTATCTGCACCGGTTCTGGGCCACTCCTAGGTCGACTCGGCCTCAAATGGGCAACTGGTGCAGTGTGCAAACATCGCCGCTCGGTAAGACAAAGGTGGACAGGCGTGGTGCCGGCCACCCCACCCCATCGTGCCCCGTGCCGGTCTAGCCCCAACAGCCCGTTACGGCTATTACGGGGCTTCGCCGTCTTGGTGCGTCACGCGGGACTTGTGTAACAAACAGCAGGTGTGTGCGGCGTGCGACGACTTCATTTGCATTCGAACCGAGGTCGGATTTCACGAGGGAGCCGGTGGCGCGGGGGTTAGCACGCCGCGCCACACAGACCTGCCGGAGCGGAGCTTGTCCCGTTTCTCCTGGCCGCGGATGACATCGGTGGCGGAGCGCGGTTTAACCTGAACGCCTCGTCCACCGGGATCCTTCCTCCACCACGGCGGTTTCGCGTCGACCTTCCGCGTGCGGTCAAACGCAAAAAACTCCCCCACGGCCGACGGAGCATGCGGGGGGCGTGGGGCGGGGGGCGGGGGGAAGAGACCTCCACCGGTGGCAGCGGCTCGGCTCGGCTCGAAGCGTTGGCGGCATTGGGAGCGGCCGCGGTTGATCGCTGGCAGCGGTGGCGTTTGGGAATGAGCGATGAGCCGAGGAAGGTGGGAGGAGAGGCGGTGGTGGAAAGTGGCTTGCTGCGTTGGGTAGGGGTTGGAGGCCGGGGGGGGGGGGGCGGGCATTGCTGGAGGGGTGAGTTGGGGGTGGAGAGACGCGGGGGGGTGGAGGTAGGGGGGGGTGGGGGGGGGGAGTTGTGGTGGGGGGGCCGTGGCACTGCCTCCACCAACACCTGTGTGACTATCAAGCGCCGCCCCCCCCTGCACCCCAGGGTCAGGCGACGAATGAGACCCCCACTTCCTGGTTGCATGCGCAATGAGGGCGCTCTATATGAAGCGGCGGCGTTGGAGCCGGAGGAGGAGGAGAGAGAGAGAGTCGGTTGGGGAGGGGGGGGTGGAGAGAGAGGTGCCAGGCAGCAAGAAATAGACGCAGGGAGTGCGAGAGAGAGGGGACGCGGGCGACAGCGGTGGAGGGGGGTGGAAGCGAGAGAGTGCGCGCATGCCAGCTGGGAATGTGCGGCGACACGCACGGACACTGACGCCCTTCAGGCCTCGTTCAGCCGTCCTCAAGGCCTCGCTGTGCACCCACCGACCGACTGCCCGCCAGCCCGCGTGCGCGAGCGCCATCCGTCTGCCGTTGGCCCGCGGGACCCCCCCCCCCCCCACCTCGTGCCGCGATGGAGTTGTGCTTCGTGGAGCCGATCCTCAGCTGTTACAACAACCAGTAGGTCGCCGCCGTGGGTCGCGACCCTCCTCCCTCGTCATCTGTCGTCACCTCATCCTCTGTCCCCTATCCCCTTCCTCGTTGATCACCTCTCGCGGTTTTTTTTCGACGTTACGGAACGAACCGTCGTCTTAATCCGCATCGCCTGTCCCCCTGTACCCCGGATAACGCCGGTGCGGTTCAGCCCGTGGTTAAATTGACGTGGACAATTTAAAGACTTATTTATTTGTAAAAGTGCTAACGTGCGGGAGGAAACTGCGGCAAGCCACTGACGGGCGGGCTGGCAGCGCAACTGTGCGCCAACCATACCCCTCTCCACCCCTGCCACTTCTGCCATCCCTCATCAGCATGTGGCACCGCTTATCCGTATGCGTGCGTGCGCGCGTGTGTGTGTGTGTTAGCATGTGTGGGGAAACTGGTGTAGTAGCAGTGAGCGCGCTGCGTTGCAAAGCGGGCGACCGGAGTCCGAGTGACTCTCACGGCCAAAGCCGGTGACGATTACCCATCGACTCGGCCTCAATTGAGTACCGCGTGTGCGTAAACATCCCTACGAGTGAGACAAAGGCGGCCGGGCGTGGTGCAGGCCACGCAACCCCCCCCCCCCCCCCGTGTGCCGTGCCGGCCTTAATAGGTGCTCGCTAACAGCACTTGCCCCGTCAGTCTGTTACAGCACATACGGAGGGTGGGATCTTTGTGTGTGTGTGTGTGCCGTTGATTCTTGCCTCTCAGAACCCGAGTGCCCTTCTACATCGGTCACTCCTTTCTCGCTCTTCCTCCGGCGCACTTTGTATCCCTTTGCCGGTCCCTGTGTCCCTGTTATCCTTTTTGCTGGTTGAGAGTATTTGGCTGCTAGAAATTTCCTGCACGACGACGATGAGCCACTTGCGTCGAGCTACGTAGCTCGGTGAAGCCTTGCCTGGTAAATTAAAAAGTTGCGTTTTTAGTGTGTCTAACACCCGGGGGTCTTCTTTTCTCTGCTTCCGTGCCGGCGTTAAGTTAATGTTTAACGACGAGCGACTCGCCGTTGGGTGAGCGTGGAACGCGATGCGGAGAGAGTTTTAGCGCAGTAACGTCCGCTCTGTGACGCAGTGTGCCCTTCTCACGCCGTCACCGTTCCGGTTCGTTCCCACCGCGCACGAATTAAGTTTTCGGGATAACTGACGTCCGTTTTGGTTCGGCACGAGGATTATTTGGTATGCATGTGTGTATGTATGTATGTTGAACTTCTTCCGCGCCGTACGTAGCCAATCGGAGGTGCGGTGGAAGGACGAGAAACTGAATACAAAAGACAGTTTTAAAGAAATTAGTTTTCAATTTCCATTGCACGATGCATAGACCCCAGTGGCTCCCTAATATCGGAAGGAAGGGCGTTTCAGACGGCCGCAGAAGGGCATCTGAAAGCGCCGCGCGTTGCAGTGGTGACCGTATTTTTTTGTTTGATGGTAAGCCAAAAGCCGCTGCTGCTGCTGCTGCGAGGATGACCTAAATTCGCTGCGTCGGCAGTGGTGCTGCGCAGGCAAACAACGACGAAGAACTGAACGCGTGTGTCGTCAAAGAACGCGCTACCCGCCCCCTCTGGCCTCTCTACGGGCTATGAAGAAGGGCCGTCGCCCGAAACGTCGCCCACTAACATACTTGCTTTCAAGGCCACACGGTGTTGCAGTGAGAGAAAGTTTGTAGGCTTCTCGTGCAGATCGTAATGAGGGCATTCGCATCGTTTAGTGACGTGTTTGTGCGTTGCTGCGCTACAAAGCCGGCGACCCGGGTTCGATTCCCGCTCACCGGCCAACACCAGTGACGAATATCTACACCGGTTCTGGGCCTCCCCTAGGTCGACTCGGCCCTCAAATGAGTGCCTGGTGCGGTGTGTAAACATCGCCGCTGGGGAGACGAAGGCGGCCGGTCGTGGTGCTGGCCACCCTCTCGTGTGCCGTGCCGGCCTTCATAAGTGGTGCTACTCGCGAACAGCACTTGCCCCTACAGTCTGTTAAGGCTATACGGGGGGGGACCCTTTTTTGTGTAATGGTCTAATGAAAAGTCGCGTTTGTGTGTGTGTGTATATACTGCAGTGGTTATTTAACATTTTAAAGAACCCATGTGCGTGTCGGACTGTGCTTCATGCTCAGTCGGCATTGTTAATTGATAGGGACGTCTCTGTCCCTCGCTTGCCCGCGTGGAGCGGTGGCGCAGCGGTTAGCTCGCTGCGCTATGAACCCGGCGACTCGAGTTGCGTTCCCTCTCGCGGCCAGCTCCAGCGATCATCTAAAACCGTTCCTGGCCCCTCTCCTATGGCGACTCTGTCTCCAATGAGTACCTGGTGCGGTGTGTAAACATCGCCACTGGGGAGACAAAGGCGACCGGGCGTGATGCTGTCAGGGGCTATCGGGGGGGCGGGGGGGGGGGGGTGGATCTTTGTCTCTGCGTAAGCATCCTTAGACTTCTTGCAAAACGAACTTGTGTAAAAAAAAAATAAATGCTTTGCGGAGCAGTGTCATTGATAAATATATATATTTTTTTAAAACCACTTTGCGTACCGCAGCCTCGCCACTGCGCCTGCAATCACAACGGAGCGTTTCCTTGATTCCCGCGTCCGACACCACCCACTCGTGCTCGCGCGCGTCCAGAGCCACCGCTCCAGCGGCGCTTCTTGAATTCAAATCCGCGAGCCAGCGCCGCTGACGTCCCCCGCCTCGTCGGCGCGCACCGCTGCGGCGCCGCTGCAGCTGCGCTCCGATCAATCGATCCCCGCCCGCCCCGCCGATGGCCGTTAGATCGAATTGTTCATTCCGCAGTCGAGGTTAACGGTTTAACAAAACAACAAAAAAGAGCGTGCGAGAGAGCCCCCTGCCCGTGCCGCGTCGACGCGAGTCGCTCCGAATCGCGTCGCCAACCGCCGAGTCGTCGGCTTTTGCCCCGATGCCCGTCCCTGCCGCGGTTTCCCTCCGGCCGCCGTGCCGCTTCTCTCGCCGTGGACCCCCCGGCAAAACGCAAGACGGCCGCGAACGGGCGGACGGAGCCCGCGGTGTGCTCACCCTCCTCCTGTCGCCACATTTCCGTGCCAGCGGCGCATGGTGCCAGGCAATCTGCTTGTGATCTCATTCCGCGTATGGCCAGCGAGGCAGAGCGGCGTAATTCCACTTTACAGCTCTGCGAGCTTTTTCCCTTTGCCGGCGGTCGTGTTTGCGCCGCGTTCATTCGGTCGGTCGTTTGTGGCCGTCTCTACGACGAGGAGGGTGGCGGTGACGGTGACGGCAGTGGACCGGGGGGGTGGGGGGGGGGGGGCGGTTGGTGGAGACGTGGAAGGGTGGCGAGTAGGAGATGACCGAACTTTTGTCAGATTTTTTTGTGCGTCCGATTTAGCGTTGTTTGTCTCCCCCACCCGTGTATGGTGTGTTTTGTGATCCAAGGGTCGGCACGTTCACGCCGCCCCCCTCGTTTGTATTGTTCGTCCGTCCGTTCCCGGTCATACAATTTGTTCCGCTCCGTGAGCTTAAAAGGCCCGCGTGACCGTATAATTACCGTAAATCGCCGACAGTCGATTTTTCGCGTGGCGCGTGCAACACAGGGCCACGGGAGGCAATCCCAGTCGATGAATCTGCACGCCGTTAAATGCCTCCAAAATATCCCCTGCGTGTGAGTTGACCGCCGGGACAGTGGCGGCGGTGGCTACGGCTTAGATCTTTGGCAAGCGGTGGCATGGAGGGGTGGAGGCGGATTGGAGTTGCTGGGGGTCTGTTGCCTTTGTGCAGCCCTCAAAGGCTCACGAGGGGCGGCAGAGGTGGCGGCGCAGGCAGTTCATAATCGGGAATCTTTATTTGTAGTGGAGGACTCGGTCCGACGCTCTTTTTCGCAGGCGTCCAGTCGTTCTGGAAGGCCTTAATCCAGCAGCGGATTGACCGTGCCTGATCGATGATTATGACGACGACGATGAATCCAGGGCAACTTGAACTGAAACAACCGGGTCGTACGGCCGCAGACAGCTTCAGCACGGGCCGCCCCAATTTACGAGCCTCGCATCGCCGCGTGGGCATCCCTCCTCCATTCGTCCAGCTCATCGGCGCCCTCGCGAGAGAGGCGGCACCGGGGTTTTTGTTCCGACGAATAACTTAACACGACCCGCCGTTGCCCGTCGCTCGGGGTCCGTGCGGGCGTTCCGCTCCGCATGGTGTTCCTCCGAAAAAGGGGTCGGCGATGAAACGCCCCGGGAAATCCGCCGCTTAAAATAAATCGTCGCCGCTTAACGGGCGGGCCTAATCTTGAGAGAACGTTGTGTGCGCTTGCGGAGGTCAAGGCGGCCGTGGAGGTTGTAACCGGGAAAAGGCGACCATGGTTGGCCTCTGGCTAATTTATTGTGCGCATGTGTGTGGAGCTTGTGCGTAGCCGACCGCACCAATCGGAGGCTAGAGGTCAGAATCGCACTGCGCTCGTGTTAGAATCGGACTGGGCTCGTATGTACGTTGAACTTCTTTGGCACCGTATGTAGCCAACCGCGCTAATCGGAGGCGCAGGATTAGAATTTCACCGTGCTTACATCAGAATCGCACTGCGCCCGTATGTGCGTATGTTGAACCTCTTTCACGCACCGTCCGCAGCCAACCCGGCTAATGGGAGGTTTGCGGGATTAGAATCCGCCCTGCTGGTGTCACTCGGGGTGTCACTCGGGGTGTCACCCCCCCCCCCTCCCCTGTCCATCGGCCTCCATCGCCCCTTCCTAGCGCTAAATGTTATGTCCTGGCTCGTGGCCCGTGCTTCGGAGTGGCCCGGCTGCGAGGGGGGCATCTCCACTTCGGGCGACGAACCCCTGTGACCGGGCAATGGCCTCGTCATCGTCACTGTAGCAACCTCACCGACGCGTTCGCGGATCGTTACAAACCCGAACGCGCATCATCATCGCGGCAGCTGCGTACGGCGCGACTCGCGAAAAACCCTACGCTGAAGCGCACGCCGCTCGCTGCTCTGTGATCGGGGCTCATGACGTTGTCACCGAGTTGACGAATGGT